ACATGGAAAAGTACAAAGAGCAAGTAGAAGACAGGGTCCTTTGATAGGACAGGAGTGCTTGTACTGCACCAGAAGAAAGGTGACTGCTGACACAGGGGTTCATATATTTGATGGTGAAAATAATAGTAGAAATGACAGTAATAATGGCAGCTACAGTTTATAATGGCACCTGTATTTATTGAGTATGTCCTGTTAACTGACAACCATCAAGGTGTCCCCCACTGATCCCAAAATCCTGCTACTCACACTCCCACAGAAGACGACTGAGCTGCATCAACAGGATATGAGCATGGCGTTTCTGAGATTAGTACACTGAAGACAGCACAGCTTCTCTAACATGTTGTCTCTCCTTGATTGCTCATTCTGAAGAAAGCTAGTCGGGAAACTCAAGCAGCCGGGAAGAGGCTTAACCATCACCATGTTGAGTGAGGCACAATTACAAACAATTCCTCAGCCTGGCTTAACCTAAGACTGTAGCCTCAAGAGACCCCAAGCCTTCAGAATCATCCAGCTAAGCTGCTGATTTACTGACCCACAGAAACTGAGAGAAAATAAGTGGTCTCTGTTTTAAGCCACTAAATTTGAGAATTTACTAAGCATTAAGAGACACCTAATGCCCCTTGCTACATGCCTCAATACCCTGTGATCACTCCTTTAAGATAAAGTAAACCTAATTAAGTAATTAGGGGGTTAGGTCAGTGGTAGAGCGTTTGCCTAGCATATATGAAGACCTGGAGTTCAACCTAAGCAATAGATAATAGATAGATAGATAGATAGATAGATAGATAGATAGATAGATAGATAGATAGATAGATAGATAGATAGGTAGGTAGATAGATAGATAGGTAGATAGATAGATAGGTAGATAGGTAGATAGGTAAACAAACCAAAAAAAATGTAATTTTCCAATTAGCACACAGCTGGCAAATACTGGAACCAGATTCAAATTTAAAGCTAGAATTATTAACTTCTATTCAAAATGTACTCCCTTAAGTAGTTTCATGGGTTTATTTTTGCTGTGAAGAAGAAAGGGGTATCTGGTAAGAGCAGAGCATGTAAGTGAACCAGCAAAATGAAGAAATGGAAATGGTTTGAAACTACTGCCATGGAGGGGTAGGAAGAGAGTTGGCCAAAGATCTCTAATAGGACTTTCAAACAGTGCTAAAGCCCAGGAATGGCTAGGAGTCAAGAGCTTCCAGTGCAGGGAAAGATCAAGGATTGTTTATGTCCCTAAGTATGCAATGTAACTTTAACTGTGAAACAGGAGTGATGGCTAGAACATTCAGAAAGCACATCTTTCCAAAGTTCTACTGGTTCTATAAGGAGTTAAGCATATGAAAATTTCAGAAAACACAGAGTACCACACAAAACTGAAAGCCACCAAAGACAGTGGCTAACCCTTATTACAAGGGTTAGGAATTTAGCTCACTGATTGAGTGCTTACCTATTAAGCCCAAGACTGACTTAAGTTACCAGCACCAAAAAGGAAGGAAGGGAGGGACTCCCCACAGAAAAAAAACAAAACAAAACAAAAACAACCCACAAGACAACAACAGAACTTTAGACCAAAAGATTATTTTTTAATTTCCTTAAAACTGGAAATAATAAATTTACCTAAAATTACAATTTCCCAAATATACTGTTTCTATTTCATGTATGTGCTTTTTAAATTACTTCACCTGAATTCCAACACTCGGGAGGCAGAGGCAGAGGCAGGCATAGGTCTGTGAGTTCAAGGCCAGCCCGGTCTACATAGTGCGTTTCAGGCCAACTGCGGTTACAGGGAGACCCTGTCTCAAAACAAAGGAGCCTCCACCCCCAAATTACTTCACTTGAAAAATAAATTGACATAGATAATCTCAAAATGAAGTGTGTGGGGGGAGCAATTAACAATCAAACCAGGAACACATTTTCCCAGGCTAATATTCAGTGCAATCTAGGGTAAATACTTAGAACTTAAGGCACAAGTATATGGCTAGAAGTAGGGGTTTATTAGCACCACACTGGTATTCAAGGTTAGTAAGTTTCAATAAGAAAGAGCTAGTAGTCCAGTAACAGTCTCTTCCTCATACAGCCAGTGATTACCTCAACATTTTTGTTGGGAACACGTCAAAATGAATACAACTAGAAACAAGAAAACTTTTCCTACTAAAAGAAGTATCACAAGTAATTTAAGAAAAGCATATATGCCTAATGTATACATAATCAATAGGGAGAAATTTTTTCCCATATTAAAAAGTATCTCCAGTCCTACAATGAATAACATAACACTAATTACAAAAACCACAAAGGGATTCTTTTTGAATTTCACAAGTTATTTCACTTATTTTCTTGTTCTTTAAATCAGGCTAGAATCCATATTTTCTGAAATCATAAAGAAAAACAAATCTTAGCCCTAAGATTTTAATTAAGCATGTAATTTTTTAAGGTGGTACATGTGTTTCATCACTATTTTTAATCTTACCCTTATCTGTTCAGTGGAGCTGCTGCTAAGTTCATCTCCAGATTCGGAGTCTTGATGTATCCTTTCTGAGCCTTCTCCAGCTGAATCACAAGACTGTTCCTGAGAGAAGCTAGTTTTCTCTATGTCCAAGAACTCCGGCCCAGGAAAGTGACCGAATAATCGTGTCCTATTCTGGCTGGAAACTTTAGGAGAATGCGAGTCACTGTTAAATTTTCCATTATTATGGGTCAGGTCCAGGCTTAGGTTGAGTGTGGCGCCTGAATTATAATTGGATCCAAAATTCTGATTGGCATCACGAATAAGACCTGTTCCTTGAACAGATGATGGCTTTCCAAAACTTGAAAGCTCAGGCATTTTATTCACATTCTCTGCTGATCTCTGAAGATGCATACTCTGTATTGTTTTCATAGAACTATTTGGCAGTCCAACTGCCTGCTTAACAGGCGGCATTAGTGCTTTGCGGGTGACCTCCTTAACGTACTGTGCTGGCACATAAAAAGCTTTGGAATTCTCATCTGGTCTGACTTGCCACCAGTCATCGTTGGTCTTCTTCACCAGGATGTACCGCTCCCCCTGTCTTATCACAATCCTCCTGTCCTTTGCTTCATACTCATAATCATATTCCACTTCAATATACACTTGTCCTGGAACAATCTTCCCACTTCTGTCAGCCATTTTTATTCAGTAATATCCACTCTCAAAAAAGATGGTATGCCACATTATGGCTTATGGCTTTCTGGGTTAATATAGCTATTTTATTTAAATGGAGAAAGGGAATAAAGAAAACATTAATGCAATCTAGATGTGATCTGCATAAACATCATACATGCCATTTAAAGATTATTACCTTCAAATTTCAAGCCCTATAAAGTAAACATGTCTAATAACATTTGTATTGTCCTATATTAAAAGCCTTTCATTCTAATTATAATCTACATCTTTCTGTTATTTTTGATCCAAATTGGAACCGTGAGCACTGTTGTACTGGTACGAATTGTGTACCACAAAAGATATGTTCTAGTCCCAACCTCAGGGTTTGTAAATGTGGTCTTACTTGGAAATAATGGTCTCTGCAGATGGAAAGTTAAGACAAGGCCCTAATTGATGGGGGTAGCCCCAAAACATACATGCTAGTGTCTTCTTTTTTGGGTATGTACTATGTCATGTGTGTTCCTGTATGTGTGCATGCATGTTTGCATGTGAGTATATGTATGTGTGAGTACATGGAGGTCCAAGGCATCTTTCCTCTATCACTCTCCAGGAACTCTTGTTGAACCCAGAGCCAGCTTGCTCTAAGGATATGGTCTCTACCTCCCATGTGCTAGGAGTACAAGTAGGCTGCCATGCCCATTAGGTATTTATATAGGTGCTAGAGATCTGAACTGCAGTCCTCAGGCTTGTGTAGCATGTGCTTTACCTGCTGAGCCATCTCCCCAACTCCTATAAAAGGAAGGAGACAAGAGACTTAGGTAATACAGAGAAGGGAGCTGGGGATGTAGCTCAGTTGGTAGAGTGCTTTCCTAGCACACATGAAGCCCTGGGTCCAATCCCCAACACATTATCAACCAGGCACAAAGGCTCATGCCTGTAATTCTAACATTTGGAAGGTAGAGGTGGGAACATCAGAAGTTCAAGGTCATCCTAAGCTACTACCAAGATAGAGGTCAGCCTGGGCTACATGAGACTCTACCTCAAAACAGGTAAGAGACAAACAGAAGCCCACAACCATGTGAAGACAGAAGGAAACACTGGCAGAGCAAAGGATTCTCGGCAACCCCAAGAAGCTATGGTAAGGCAAGGAAGGGTCTTCTCTGAAGCGCTTTGAGGACAAACACTGCCAACACTTTTATACTTTTGAATAAAGGGTCTCATCATGTAGCCCAGACTAGCCTCATCTCAAGATCCTGCTTCAACCTCCCAACTGCAGAGACTGCAGACATGCACTATAAAACCTGGCTTGAGAGTACATTTCTGCTGTTTAAAGCCACCCTATTTATAGTACAGTCTGGGTATCACAAATCAAAAATTCTAAAAGTCTGAAACTTCTTGAATACCAATATGCAAACTAATGCTCAAGGATGCCAACACTAAACAGGTTTGCCAAAAATGTATGAACTCAAGGTTCCATTACAACCTACCAATTTTCCTCAGTACCCAAGTGCTAAGCACATTACTGTAAACTATATGTAGAAACATCATTTTCCTGAGGACTGTTTCTTCTCTATGATAAAGCCAATAAGCTCAGGGAATAAATAAATTAATTACAATACAACTTCAGTAACTGAAATTTATTTCTAGACAAAGTACATGAGATACTGAATTTAATACAGAAACATTTTTTCAAAAAAATTAAAACTTACCTTAAAAGAATATAAACATCTGCTGTTACATTTAAACCTATAAAATAAAAGAAAAAGTTTGTTTATCTCTAATAATCAAGATTTCTTAAAAGAGAGTAAACACAGGATGTTGTGTACAATTTGGGAGCACAATTTTTTTTAGAAGGAAATAAGACAGTGTCACCCATCACATCAGTGCCACCCTCCAACACAAGCACTGAGGTAAGCATGACCAATGCCTGTGCTTGCTACCATCAAGGCTTCAACATTCCTTTCTTTACTTGTTTGTTTTGAGACTTAGACAGGGTCTCATTGTGTAACCCTGGCTGGTCTAAAATGTTCTGTAGACCATGCTGGCCTCAAACTCACTGAGCTCTTCCTGCCTCTGCCTCCTGAGTGCTGGGATAATACAGGTGTGCACCACCATGCCTGGCCTAAAATCCCTCACTTTTTACTCTAGCAAACGGGCACATCTTTGTATTATTTTTATTTTATGTGTATGTATGTATTGCCTGCATGTAAGTAAATGCACCTGTGTCATGCAATGCCTGAGGAGGACAGAAGAGGTAGTTGGATACCCTGGAAATGGAGTTATGGACAATAAGAACAGTGAGACAACTGATGAGATAGATATACTCCTTCCTTCTAAAGGTGATAACAATACAGTGTACAGAATGTCACCTACACTGTATTTTCTTTTTTTTTTTTTCGTCTTTTTGAGACAGGTTCCCCTCGTAGCCCCAGCTGTCCTGGAACTCACTATGTAGACCAGGCTGGCCTCGAACTCACAGAGATCCGCCTGCCTCTGCCTCCCAAGTGCTACCTCAGTAACATGCAGATCCAGAAAGTGAGACATCCCCTTGTATAACAGAACCAAACTCTTCAAGAGTCAGTGTCATGAAAAAAAGGAGAGGAGATGATCCTCAAGATTAGTCTCTGACACATTAACAAGTAAAAGTGGCTGGTTGTCTAGAAAACCTATAGTTTACCATATCTAAAATCTACCTGTGTCTATCCTACCCCCATCCTGCCAAATTTGCCCCTCACAATAAAGAGCTTCCAACTCTGCTTTTACGCATGAGCAGGATATCAGTCAATTTATGCTTTAATTCCACATAAATTTTTCACAACTTTTCATACTGAGGGCTGGAGGGACAGCTCAGCAGTAAAGAGCACTTGCTGCTCTTAGAGAAGACCATGTTAGGTGGCTTACAACCACCTGTAACCTCAACTCCAGGGCACTTGCACAACATGTCACACACACACACACACACACACACACACACACACACACACACACACTTAGGCACACCCATAAACTAAATCTTTTTTTAAAAAGTTCATACTGAGGGTCTGGAGAGATGGCTCAGCAGTTAAGAACACTGACTGTTCTTGTAGAAGACCCAGGTTCCAATTCCAGCACCCACATGGCAGCTAACAACTGTCTATAACTCCAGTTCCAGGGGATCTGACAGCCTCTTCTGTCCTCCTTGGGCATTGCACGACATGGGTGCACTTACCTACATGCAGGCAATACACTCATACACATAAAAAAATAATAATAATAAATACATTTTTTTAAAAAAATTCATACTGAATCAGAGTCATAATGCCATTTCAATCAAAGACAGACAATATAAACATTGGTGGTCCCTCAGATTTCAACAGAACTGAAAAATTCCTTTCCTAGAACCCTAAAACCTAGTATAAAGCATTATTCATGTTTGAGGTGATGTTGATGTATACACACCTACTGTGCTGCCACAGAGTCAAAAGAACTTGATGATAATAAATGACTGTCAGAGTTGTGTTTTTATATTATACTTTCTATTGATGTTTTAGAATCTCTCATCTATTAAGTGTCCTCTACTTATGTCTTTTAGAGTTCCTATAATAGTATGCCATGTAATGCTGGCAGCATACTTGTACACCTTGTGCTTATTGCATCTCCACTACATCAATGATCATTCAGGTCTGTGTAATCACACTAATGTTCCAACAATGAAGAAATTAACCAATGACTTCTCACAATGCATCCTTTGTTGCATGAAGCATAACTATTTATTCTTGGGTGGTTTTTCCTTTTTCCCTGGGAAGTGGTAAAATAAGAAGTATCTTTGAAGATACAGAGTTGAGCAAGGAACCATGAAGCTATTTTTCACAAGATTACTATAGCTCAAACACACTGGAACTGCTCATACAGTGTATGATTTCATGCTACTGGGAGAGGGATTTGTGGTGCTAGGGAACAGCAATGGGTTACAAGCCAGTTCACGTTCACTCTCTTTATGCCAGGCTTTATGACTGCACCTACCCTAATGACTACAAAGATATGTATGAAGGAGCAGTTACGGAGAAAGATAAGGATTACACAAGGAAGTCGATTTCACGAGTTCAACCTGAGGCACTCAATCTACAGTTTTGGTTAAAGAAAATGAGATGCAGGAGCGTAAGGCATATGAAGTAGCTAAATGACATAATCTACTTAGAAGGTAGTTACATACCAAAGCAGAGGAAATGAGCAATAGTAGACTCCACCGGAAAAGAGAATAGGAGCTAAAGGGAAATTACTAGTCAAGACAGGTTAGAGGTGGGGAAGGAAACTGGAAAGCCCTGGAAACTAAAAAGAAAGCTACATAGCAGGGATTATGCACTATAACTCAGCCTAGGAAAAGTTAGATAAAATAAAAATGAGATGAAAAACCTTATTATAATTTATAAATTGAAAGAGATTAAGATAATCATGGGGCAGTGCTAAAAAAATAGAGCTAAGTAAAAATTATCTGCAACTGTGTGAATAATTCTATTTTTAATCTTTTTAAGAAAAAGTTGTATTAAAACAAACGCTTATAGTTCTGACTTTGGTTTGTTTCTTCTTCTAGTCTCCAACATATGTCTTCTTTTAGATTAGGCTGAAAGTTGATTATCTTGCTAAGTTACTTTAGTTAGGACCTTGCCTATTGAACTACAGAGCTCTCCCACCAGAACAGTCCTCTAAGTGAGATCTACTCTTTATGCATCACCATACTCCTCCATCTGTGTTCACCCCAAACACAAACCACCAAGCATCCAATCACCAGGACTTTCGTGTTTGCACATCTACTGCCTTGGACACCCCCCCCGCCCCCCCCACACACACTGCTTTTCTCAGCAGTTTCAAAATCATCCATATACACTTTCCAGGCCTCTTATCTGTCTCCTGCCTCCCTTATTCGAATCATTTCCTCCTCATGTTTCAACAAGCAATTACATACCCACCAGCACACACACAGACACGCATGTGGGAGCGTGTGTCTGTGTATGTGCATGCACATGGAGGCTAAGGAAAACCTCAGGTATAGTTTCTCAGGTGCCAAGCATCTTAGTGTTTTTATTTTGGGTTTGCTTTCTTTCTTTCCTTTTTTTTTTTTTTTAAAGACAAGATCTCTCACAGGCCTAGAATACACCTCTTAGGCCAGCTGACCAGGTAGCCCCAGGGATGAGCCTGTTTCCACCTCCCTAGGACTGGAATTTTAAGTACATACCAACATGCCTGGCTTTTTTATGTGAGTTCTGGGGATCAAACTCAGGTTCTACCAACTCAGCCATTTCCTGAGTCCAGTCACATCTTATGCTCTACCTCCAACTCTGATTCAGAATTTTCTATCATGCTACTTTATCATCTGATAGCTTTTTTTTTCCGTCAATTTTTAAAAACTGTCTTTCTCACGTAAAGTACTAAGAAGCTTACCATAAATTAAAACAGCTCAGCAAATGTTATCCTCCTCCCCCAGGACATCTGTTCTAGCCAAGTACATCTTACTAGATATATCCAAAACAAAGTAAACAAGTAAATAAAATCTTAAGAGAAACAAAAACTTAAGTAAATACATCCATAATTAAGAAGTTTAAAATTTAAGACTAGTCCAAGTATGTACAAAATATTCAATAATTCTAATACTATGAACAATAAATGCTAATATGCTTCAAACATGTAAATATTAAGCAATCTAAAAATCATACCGCTGAATCACTGTTTCTTGGCACTAAGACCTCCACATAGTTTTTAAAGTACTTGCTTGAAACTGATAATAATACAGGACTAGGGATATAGCTCAATGGTAGAACATTTCCTTAGAACATAGAGGCCCTGGGTTCTAGTCCCCAAAAATAAAATAACCTGAGATGAGGGGCTAGTGGGGGTGGGATGGGGATATGAAGGTAGGGGATGAGTGTGACCTGAATGTATTGCAAATCTGTATGAAACTGTCAATTAATAAATTGATTTAATTTTTAAACTTTTCAAAAAAAAAAAAACTATATATACAGTTGGTAGAATGCTTGCCTATTATGCACCCCAGCACCACAAAAGGAAAAAATAAGAATGAAATAATGATGCCTGAACAGGCACCCAATAAATCAATTAAGTTTAATGAGCACAACCAAAAAAGTAAGCAACTCCATAAGTACCAGAAGAAATTATTCCACCAACTAGTGCTCTCAGTTATACACTAAACAAATCATCAGCTCTTCAGCTCTTAAAGTTTTTTTCTACGTGAATGATCCCTACTTTCTAAGAATGAACAGATACACAATATAAAATATTACTCATCTGAATTTAAACAGGCAGTGTAAAGAAGGGAAGGCAAATACGGAAAGGAAAAGGACATCTCTCATAAACCACTCTGGCCATAAAGAAAAAGAAAAAATAGAATGTATGAAGTAACTCTATGCTGGAAAGTGGTAAAGAAGAACCAAAGAAAACCAGTGAAGGACCTTCAAAAGCAAGACTTGAATCTGAAACAAAGATGAGGAACAGCAAAGGAAACATTTGGGGAAGCGAGTATGTTTCAATAAAAAGGAAATTTGCATGGGGTGTGTTAAAGAGCTGTGTGTCATCAAATGATAGAAATGGGGCAATCTTGATGACTTTTCCTTGAACTATTACAAGAATGTAGAAAACATTGTAGTTCAGGGGCTGGAATTATAGTCAGTGGGACCTAGCATGTACAAGACTCTGGGTTCAACTGTCAGACATGCCCCACCCTACACACAGAGAAAAACTGCTTAAATTCAAAC